AGGTACTGATTTAGTCCCGGGATTGTGACCATGAATGTATCCTCATATACATGTATCCTCATATGCGTTACCCTCTGTTGAAGACATTGCAATACTGTTCACAAAGACATGCAGGCTCGGTGGAACGAACAACACGCATTTCGTTCAAATGAATAAAAAATTCAACGAATTAATTTTACAAAAGATTGTTGATTCTTTGACTTATTAAATGAATATTTCAAAACTAAATCATTTTTATTACCTGTATTTACCTGTTTAGACATAAATGTACGCTATGAAAGAGCAAGACATATGATGTCAACTTTTCTGGAGCAGGAACAAACCAGATTTCGGACTAAACTTTTAAAATATTGTCATTCATTTGGGGGTAAATGATTGATACACTTTATGTATATATGAAAGTAATTGTGGTTCATCTCTTTTTATGTTTTCAATTTGATAAAGTGCATGGCCCTTTTGATTTATGCATTAATGATTTAATATGTTTAGTTAATTCAAATATTTTTTTAAAGTAAGTAATCATACATGTTTGTTTTTATTCATTGCATAAGAAAGAAAAGAGAGAGCTTATGAATAAAGCATTGATTCTAAAAAGACAATTATCAAAGATATATAGAAAAGAATTAGAAGTTGGAACAAATCATTATAATCTTTAATGATATGAATGGTTTACAGAGACCTAACACGTATTCATACTTTAAAACATGTAAAACGAAGTAAAATAGTGAGGCAACTTACAACATTAAAATAAACGCATGAGAAACAAAAACAAATAAACGATTAAAAAAAAGATTTTCAAAAAGAAAAACTAACATAATACATGACTTACAAAGTTGATTATTAAATCACTAAATACAAACATATTTAATGTTTAACATAATTAAAAAAACTAATATATACATCTATATTACATACATGTATTATACAAGGGATGTTTAGGAAAGTTCGTGGACTACCTGCACAACTGTTCAACTAAAAATCATATATTATATCCAAATTTTGCAAAAGAAATGTTTAACATTAGATTTGATGACGTGTATCATTACTGTACAAATACCAAGATTTGTTTCAAAATTTTCAGAGTATAAAAAGGCTAACATCAGAACGCGGAGCAGGTCAAAATTAGTAACTTGAAATCAATACATAAATAATGTCTGTTGTCATATCCTATGTAAAACAGCACAAAACCAAAAATAATTATATATACACTATAAAGTTAAGAATTACATCGTTTCATTTTCCAATTATGATTTAAAATTTTGTTTTGTTGGGGAAAAAATAATCACATTTAGAGGAGGGACAGATGCAGTCTTCATTAAATAAAAAAGGGCAAAACAAGTCGACGTAGCAAAATGCCATGATGTAACAGTGAATACAATTTTGTGTTGTACAAAAAATACAGAAATAAGATCTCACAGAGTTGTAAGAAGCAGAAAATATGTTAAAAGCAGTTCTTAAGTATGTGTGTTAATTCTACAGGCAGTATACGAGGGGTGATCAAAATATGGCAAACTAATTGAATAACTTCCATACAGGAAACAATATTTGTTAATGTTGATTATATTTTAAATTAGTCCTCCCCGATTTTAATGCACATCAACCACCGTTCTGCGCATGCGCGAATCACGTGATATTGGCGGTCACGTGACCCCCTCTGTAGCGTTCTGTCACAAAAGTTAAAAGATTTTTCCGAGTTTTATATTTCTTTCCATGTGAGTTAATTTTTATGACAAGAACAGTTAATTTGTCAGAAATGGTCATATCTCGGCAACAGAATGGGTGGATAATAACATCCTTTCCAAAAATAAGCATGGCGACCATTAAAACACAAATCTTCTGTCTCAGGAGAGACCTTTATTCAAGGTGGATAGAGAATTGGTGCATCCTTTTTATCATATCTAATATGTTTCAAATCTAAAGTAAACGACATCTTAGGTATTTAATACTTATATCATTGTTCAAATATTCAACTATTTTTCAAAGTGATAATTTGAGGTCTTTGATTGCACATTGCTTAATTAAAAATACATACCTTTTCAAACTTGCTTTCACTGGGCAGGATGACAAGTATCATTTTTAACCATCAGCCTTCCTTCACTAAAACGATTAATCCAATTATTAATTGAATTTATAGGAACTCATTTATCTCAATAAACTGTCTACAATTATTATATGATACTGTAGAGGGATTTCTAAGATATTACAATAAATTGTACAGTCGTTTGTTGAACGAGTTCGACTGGGACAACCATTTTTCGTCACAAGTGACCTAAATAGTGACGTCATTTTCACATTGTAACGTCACAAACAAGTAGAGAAACTTTATTCAGCATATGCTATTTATAGACCTTGTGTATGGTTATGTGTGTACCGAATTTCATTCTAATCTGAATTGTGGTTTTGTAGATATAGAGATAGTTTGCGAACTTTTTGATCACCCCTCGTATGGATGATTGAGACCCTTTGACAGATTAGGATACTAAATTTGAAACAGGATATATAAAAAAAAATTATCGAACTTTTTCAGAAGTTGTTAAGGGCATGGGTTAGAGATAAGGCTCTTCAAAGTTGTTGACTATGTGAAGGCATAAGATTGAAAAATAAAATTATGCTACTGGAACAAATGTTAACAAAATACATTTCAAATGGAATGAGCGTGTTGGCGGTTGGTCATTCTACAAAATTTTTAAGTAGCGTATTTTTTAAGAGTCTCGTTAATGTTTTCGAGGATAGTACAGCGATGTTTTAAAAGGTCAATGGACTTTCCGAACAATACTCGTATGTTACACAGAGTTATAAATAATCGGTTGTCCATGTTGTCTGATATTATAAGTGTAAGTTGCTCTTTTATCAAAAGACTCTCCTATGTTGAAATTCTTTTTTTCAATAAGTCTCATGAATTTCTATGCCAGTGCATTGACATACCGCGATCATATATTTTAAACTGCGGTCTTCTTCACTGCTTTCGTTCTTTATTCATTTATTCGGTAATTTTGAATTAGGTTGTAAAGGCTCACAGTTAGAGGTTAGTAGTGCATTTCCAGTGTAGGCATGGCCGTCGTGTTTGCGTTGACCAGTAACGATAAAACCAAACCGAGACCCATCGGATGTCTGTGTATTAATAACTCCACTTGGAACACTCACTGTACACACGCTGTAAAGATATATTCCAACTGAAACAGAGGAGCTAAAAAGACAGCTCTCTACGTTGATATTTGTTCCATTGATTTGAAGACTCCTAAGAGAATCGTTTTTTATCATAAAAGTAGCGAAACTAAAATTATATCCACCAGGCACGAAATTGGTGTATGTGCTGAGATACTGATTAATTCCAGGAATTGTGACCATGAATGTATCGCCATATATTTTAGCCTCGGTTGAAGACACTGCAATACTGTTAACTGACACAGGTTTGGTAGAAAATATAACACCTACAGACCCTAAACCGTGCTACTACACCACTTGAACGGTACGGTTCGGTACGCTTTGTGCACGGAACGGTACGCTTTGAGAACGGAACGGTTCGTTTTGTGAACGGTACGGTACGCTTTGTGCACGGAACGGTTCGCTTTGTTCACGGAACGGTACGCTTTGTGCACGGAACGGTTCGCTTTGTGCACGGAACGGTACGCTTTGTGGACGGTACGTTTCGTTTCTTGCACGGAACGGTTCGTTTTGTGAACGGTACGCTTTGGGAAACGGTATGCAAATGAAGTGGGCAGAGCCTGTAAGCTTTAATTTTTGATTGGCTACTAAAAATTAATTCATTTCATACAGCATTATTGTAAATAATAGCCTTTATGTAATCTATGATGTAATGTAGTTCAACTTTCATGTTTGTTTGAGTCTTATTGTGTTATTAGCTGTCTCCTTTAGAAAAAAGTTGTAATTAGCCAATCGTAACGCTTATTCAAATCACGTGACACAAGATAGCGTCTTTTCACTGATTTAGAAGTGCCAAGAAATTCACAAATTTGTTTTGAGAAATTTACGTCTTTAGGAGTGTTTTTATCGTTTTTACGAACTTATTGCATTGTTTTTACCAATCGGAAGACTACAAAACAAGAATACATCAGTGAAAAGTAAGTGATTTGCGGATTTTTTGAGTGTTTTTGTCCCAGGGATAGACAGGCTCCGTCCAGCCAAACAGTGTTACGCTATGGCGGCCGAACCCGAAGTAAACATTCGAACTGTGTGCATCTTAGGACATTCTTATATCCGCCGTTTGAAAGAATTTATAAATGCAAGTGATCTTAGGACTAATTTAAATTTGGATATGGACTCCTTCAAAGTGGATTTCAGATCACGCGGTGGTTTAACATTCAAACGTCTAGCCCACTGTGCAGAATTTTTACGGTTTGACGCACCCCCCGATATTTGTTTTATACAGATGGGCAGTAATGACTTGAGTCTAAACAATCCTCAAAAAGTGTGTACGGACTTAATTTCTTATGCACAATACTTGCGCGATGGTGTTGGAATAAAAACTGTAATTGTTGGACAGTTATTACGCCGTCAGCCATGGGCTTCTCGTGACAAGTTCAACGAGGATGTTGTAAAAGTTAACAATCTTTTGAAAGAGGAAACAGGGAAAGTAGATGGTGTGTATTTTTGGCCACACAGGGGATTTTGGGCGGACCTGTCCTACCTGGGACGTGATGGAGTTCATATTGAGGGTGACTCCAGGCATATGAAGAAATATATGCATAGTATTAGAATTGCAGTACTGCAACATTCAAGATGAGTATGTTATTATAAATTTGAAAAAAAAAAAATGCAAGTAATGCTATGATTTAAAACATACTTTTCTTTGATAGAGTGTTATGTGAGAAATGAATTGATTCCACACAGACACACGCAGACTAGTGTGAATTTTCAAGAAAATTATTAAGTATATGTCAAACATATAGTTTAGTACATTCTCTTTTACAATAATGACAGGTTAGAGTCACTTGTATTGTAAAGCGCACATGAAATTTTGTGTTTTGTTTTTGTCATTTGGGTAAGTCACACGCTGAGTAGTGTGCCCCTATTTAGACACAGGCAGAGATATGTGCCCTGATTTAGACACACGCAGAGTAGTGTGCCCCGATTCAGTCACACGCAGAGTAGTGTGCCCCGATTCAGTCACACGCAGAGTAGTGTGCCCTTAATTACACACACAGAGTAGTGTGCTTCCTTTTTACTTTAGTGACATGAAAGATGAAACACGCAGAGTAGTGTAATATTATATTGTCATAACAATTGGACATCATACAGAGTAATATGTCCTTACCTATACACATAATATTCAGTCGCACACAGAGAAGTGTGCCCTTATATAGTCATAATAGACAGACACACGCAGAGTAGTGTGCCTTTATAAGTTATATTGACACAAAAAGTTGTACACACGCAGAGTAGTGTGCCCTTAGAGACATAATATTCAAACACACGCAGAGTAGTGTGCCATTACTACTTTTGTAAAAATAGTTGGACACACAAAAACTTGTGTTCCTGAATCCTCGTATGCAATAAGAATGTAAGACAAACTACATGGACTATCATATGTCTTTTGATTCTGAACTGTGAACAGTTTTAAATATTGTCAATTTAATATAAAGCAAATGTGCAAAATATGCTAATTGTCAGATGTTGAAGATTTTATTTGGTTAACATCAAATGTCTGTGAGATTTCACTGTTGAGTTGACCTAAAAACAAAATTTTACAATGCGTACAGTATTGTTTTCATATGGTAGAGATTTCAACTTGATGGAAGTTGCTACCATATGTTAAAGTTGTAACTTAATGTAAACAATTATTGATTGTTATTTGGACACTTGTAGGTAGATCATACCTAAACGGAGAAAGGCACCAGCAGCCCAAGGGGATCCCCAGGCAGCAACGCCTAGCAACACAGTCACCCGGAAAAGACAAAAAACAGTTTCCGTGCAAGAAATTGACTATCAGAAACTGGCGGAAGAAATTCTGAAACAACAAAGAGCAACCAGCTCATCTGCTAGTGCCACAATTTCAGTGCCACCAGTAACAAGTAATGTCAGTAATGAGACAGTTCTAACTCAATCAACGCTCCTGACAGCTGCACAATTGCCAACTGCCCCGGTACAAGAGCCAGCGCCAGCAGTAATTCAAAATGCCTCAAGCAATGCCACACAACAAATGCCTGCCATAACAAGTCCGAGCACATCTACCTCAAGCAATGCCACACAACAAATGCCTGCCACAACAAGTCCGAGCACATCTACAAATGCAAACAACTCATCCACAGATGTGACAGTGTCATCATTGGTTTCTCAAATTTTTGGGACAAATGAAGGTGAGCCAGTGGGCACAGTTTCATCTAGCTTAAACAAAGATAAATCTTTCATTTCTGTAACTGACGGGATTCCTCTTGGTGCGGCCATATCAGCTAAGGTAAAATCCAAAATTTGGTCAAATGAGTTCATTGATTTACGGTGTCTTTTGCCGCACCATGAGGAAAACCCTCTTACTCTGTTAATATCACCAGGTGTGATCAACTTGCAACAAAACCCAAAAACAAAAAATCCCTTATCAATTAATCAGTGGACTGATGCCTTTTTAGTTTTTATTTGCATTAAAATTGAAAAGGATCCATCAGAGGCCCCTCACCTATTAAAGTACATGAGTTTTGTTAGGGAACTTCACAAGCTACATGGCGATTCAGCCTGGAGGGCTTATGATGAATCCTTCAGAAAACTAAAAGAAACAGCTGAACTTCCCTGGCAAAAACCAGTCGAGGAATTGAGGGGAAAATGCATTACGTTAAAACCTGCCCCTTACAGTCAGCCCTTTCGTACCAAACAGGCGGGGAGAACAAAATTCTGCTTCGCCTTTAACCAAGGTGACAAATGTAAAACCACACCATGTCCCTTCACACACATCTGTCAAATATGCAGGGGACAGCACCCAAAACACAAATGTAGGTCTCAACAATCTGCAGAGTCACGCACTTCCCACGCCAGTAAATCCAAACAAACTTAGTGAAGAATTAGAGGGTTATGACAAAAACCTAAAACAACTGTTAGTAGAAGGTTTCAAATTTGGTTTCTCTTTGGGTTGTAGCACTACTCCAACTGCACGTTTGTCCAAAAACCATTCATCAGCATTAAATCATGGCGATATCATAAATGCACATATCCACAAAAGCTTAGAACTTAATCGTATTGCAGGCCCCTTTCCTTGCCCTCCTTTTGATCCTTTCATATCATCCCCTTTGGGGGTGGTGCCAAAATCTGAACCCGGTCAATTCAGAATTATTCATGACTTATCTTATCCCCGAGACAATTCAGTCAATATAAATATCCCAAAAGAAAATTCAGTTGTCCAATATGACTCCATCGACTGGGTAATACATCTTGTCCAACAGAATGGAGCTTATTGTCTGATGGCAAAAACAGATATTCAGGATGCTTTTAGAATTATCCCAGTCAATCCCAGTGACTACCATTTGTTGGGTTTTTCATGGCAAGGCCAATTTTACTTTGATAAATGTTTGCCTATGGGGGCTAGTAGTTCCTGTCAAATTTTTGAACAACTTAGTGTTGCATTACAGTGGATAATGCAATTTAGATATCAAGCTGGAGGTATGTCACATATCCTTGATGATTTCTTCTTCGTTGGGCCAGCTGGCTCCGACAATTGCAAGAATGATCTCACAAATTTTCTTTTCCTTTGCAAAAAAATTTGGGTACCCATTAAAATGTCAAAGACTCAACCCCCCACTACCAAAATCACTATCTATGGCATAGAAATTGACTCGGTCAAAATGGAGGCACGTCTACCTCCTGTGAAAGTAGAAAAAATAAGGAAAAACCTAGGAGAAATGAAAAACAAAACGCGTAGCACATTACGTGATCTACAGTCTTTAATAGGATTGCTCAATTTTGCATGCTCGGTTGTAATCCCAGGTAGGGCTTTCCTTAGACGTTTAATTGACCTAACCTGTGGGGTTTCAAAGCCTCACGAGTTGATTGAACTCACAGAAGAGACAAAAGAAGACATAAACACTTGGCTTACCTTTCTCGAAACATTCAATGGGAAATCTGTTTTTCTGCCCCAAAAATGGTTATCGTCTGATCACCTTACTGTCTTTACTGATGCGGCGGGATCTATAGGGTTTGCAGCCATCTTGGGTTCTGAATGGTTTGCATCACGTTGGAATGATGACATGACAGAATATCAAATAGCCATTAAAGAATTATTTCCCATTGTAATAGCAATACAGATTTGGGGGGATAAGTTAAGAAACAAAAAAGTTCTCTTTATGTCAGATAATTTAGCAGTTGTACAAATTATCAATAAACAAACGTCAAAAGAGAAAGTCATCATGAGGTTGATACGTCGTCTGGTATTGTCAACCCTAAGATACAATGTGCATTTCAGAGCAAAGCACATCCCAGGGAAGCACAACATAGCTGGTGATCACTTATCTCGTTTTAATTTTCAGGCTGCATTCAGTTCCATGCCTCATTTAAACCAACAACAGACCCAAATACCACTGAAGTCATTGGCAATTTGAGTCAGCAAGCACACCACCTTCTGTCAGCAGCCTTGTCCAACACCACCAAGTCTGCCTACAAAAGAAGCTGGGATTTGTTGCTACAGTTCAACCCCACTGTGACCTCGCTACCAATTTCCTCTTCAGTGACAGCGAACTTCATTGCTCACCTCTTTACCATAGGTTATTCCCCTAGTAGCATATCATCTCATATATCAGCCATAAGCTATCTACATAAAATTCTTGGTCTCTCAGATCCATCAGATTCATTTTTGGTCCGGAAAATAATGCAGGGATGTCACCGTTCGGCTCCTAACAAAGACACCAGGTTACCAATAACGGGCCCCATTCTACATAACTTAGTTTGCGGTTTACAAAAATCTGTGCAAAATCTACACTATAGAATCATGTTAAAGGCCATTTTTCTGTTGGCATTTAATGCCTTTTTACGCTTGGGTGAACTTGTAGTAAAAACAAAAGGTTCGTTAAACACAGTCATTCAACGAGAAGAGGTTTCTTTTGAATTTTCAAACAACTCCCCCTCTGCAGTTGTCCTATTACTGAAAAATTTCAAAACAAATAAGAAAAAAGACCTTTTCCAGATTCACCTGAGAGCCATGGACAACAGTGACATGTGCCCTGTTTTGGCATTATATCTCTATCTTCAAGCCTTTAATCACCAGTCTGGTCCCCTCTTCCAATTTATGGGAGGTGACCCAGTTCCTTATGCATTTGTTTCAAAAAATTTACACAACACAGTTTTGTTCATTGGTTTAAACCCTGCCCTGTATAAAGGTCATAGCTTTCGCATAGGAGCTGCAACTCATGCAGCCCAGCAAGGTTTTTCTGAGAATTGCATACAGAAAATGGGCAGGTGGAATTCAGATGCTGTACGGAGATATATCCGTTTACAGAGCTTTGTTATTTAAAATGTTATTTGAAAGCATTCCAGAACTGCTCTGTGAATTCGAATCTAGTCCTGTAAGTCCCTATGGTTAGATATTGTCACATAGGTCAGAAGTAAACTGCTATGTAATTTTCCTAATCAGTCTTTCCAATTTTGCCTCACGCCTAAATACACAGGTCAGAAGTAAACTGCTGTGTCAATGCATACTTTTAAAATTTTTACATACAAAGCTTGCACAGGACAGAAGTAAACTGCTGTGTAAACATTGTTTTTTCCTCATACCATTTAACATAATTAGATTCATTTGTTTTAAAATAATTTTTCTTTCTTACCACTTATAACACAAACTGTGCCTACTGGTTCATGTTTCACCATCATGTTTTGAAGCAAATGATTTGTATTTTTCGTTCATTTATGTATTGGTAATAACTTTCAATATGTTGCTACTCCATTGTATTTGACATTCTGAGCCTTGCTAATTTTATTGTTTGTGTTGTATATTATAATGCTGCATAGGCTGTACGATTTTATGTTATTATATGCTTATTATGCTATATAGACTGTATGATTTTGTGTTGTTATAATGCTGTGTAAACTGTATGATTTTGTGTATATATATAAGGTTCTGTAGACTGCCTGATTTTGTTGATCTGCCTAGTCCACCTGTTTTGGCCTTGTTTTTTGCAAACAGCTTTTCATAGCAGTTTGCTTTTGGTGGCAGCTTTTTGTTTTGACAACTTTGTGGTTTATATACTTTTTATTTGTCAAAATATTTTTGCCAAAGTAATGTTTGTTTGCAACAGGGGAGATACCGTTGCCAAATTTATTGTTCTTTGTACTGAGGAAATATCCCGGTGATCTCCCCTTAACTTTATCTGTGTTATATACTTATTGTCATTTAATAAATGACAATTCTCACTCAGTATACATTGTTTGTTATATTTCAACTTTTGCGGTAGTCTAGCCAGATCACTAGGGTTACATAATACAGCATTATTGTAAATAATAGCCTTTATGTAATCTATGATGTAATGTAGTTCAACTGTCATGTTTGTTTGAGTCTTATTGTGTTATTAGCTGTCTCCTTTAGAAAAAAGTTGTAATTAGCCAATCGTAACGCTTATTCAAATCACGTGACACAAGATAGCGTCTTTTCACTGATTTAGAAGTGCCAAGAAATTCACAAATTTGTTTTGAGAAATTTACCCACCCTCCGTCCCCCTTCATACTCCATATTGTAGTCTCAAAATTATGTTTTTTGTAATTTATTTATCATAATATATACCTTGTGCCATCTTACTTGCCATCGTGCAACTTTTGTCTTGTCATTTTATTAATTTTTTCCTTTTTGAATACTTTGTTTGTTTAAAAATATTGGCAGCTTTTTGTTTTGACAACTTTGTGGTTTATATACTTTTTATTTGTCAAAATATTTTTGCCAAAGTAATGTTTGTTTGCAACAGGGGAGATACCGTTGCCAAATTTATTGTTCTTTGTACTCAGGAAATATCCCGGTGATCTCCCCTTAACTTTATCTGTGTTATATACTTATTGTCATTTAATAATTGACAATTCTCACTCAGAAAAAAAAAAAAAAAAAATATACATTGTTTGTTATATTTCAACTTTTGCGGTAGTCTAGCCAGATCACTAGGGTTACATAAAATGACTTTTGAAGTACTTAATGCACGTATATAATTATATTTCCGCTTTTAACAAATTAATTTCTCGGTTTCAATTTAAACATTAATTTACACTACAGCGGTGATTGAGGAAAAATGAAAAAAAAAAAAAAATTAAAGGAAGAAAAAACATCATCCCACCGATGTCTTTGACATTATGTATTGATATGTATTAATATATATAGAACTCGTAAAGATTTCCGTGCTTATTTTTTACGTATGCTGAACCTTCATTTTAAAACGGAAAAAAAATTAAATGAAATATTTTTTTCACTTTCAAATAAAGTTGTAAGATAATAAAAAGGAATAAATATATATATCGGGTATATACTTGTTCTATACATATAACGCTACGCACATATGTAACTTATTTTTAATTCATTGATTTATAGAAATAAATATGACTCTTCCTGCTTCATTTTTATTCCTAGTAATTAGATAGGTACATTATTTTTTTATTTTTAAAATAATACATCTACCGTTCAAATGTTTGCTTCAGAAGAAAAATATCAGTAAACAAAATAAATACGAAAATCGGCAGCAGAAACATGAAATCAATACAATAATATCCGGGCGCTTTCTCGCTACAGAAAACATTCTTTTCACAGACAAGTATTTATGTTTTCAATAATCCTTTCAGTGTCATAGGTAATTATTTCAATAAGTTTTCTTTATTTTATTTGGTTATTCTATTCTTGTAGTCTGTAAAACGATGTCGTGAATGAGAGAGAGAGAGAGAGGGGGATAGAGAGAAAGATGCAACCCCTTAATACATTATCTGTAAAAAAAAATAACTTGTATTTATTCTCATTCTTCGTTTATTTACATCGCTAAAGTCACAATCAATCAGTCTATGATTCTATTTAATCAACCCCCTTTACAGCTATTGTTCAATGAATAATTCGTTCTCTGTACATGCATGCTGCACGCATGAAATTCTCGTGCATCATCTGTCAATCAAAATGGTATGACGCTAGGTAACCCGGAGTCTGTTTACGCAAGAAGAATTTCTCCTGTTATTTGAAACATTCTTATGGTCAGTTCATAGTTCACACCTGTTTCAATAAAATATTGGGTCACAGCCGGAGGGGCGGGTGGGGGGGGGGGGGGGATGCGCGTGTTTAACACAACTTTCCAATGATTTAGTTCTGACCACATCAAGTGTATTTAATCACTCAACAGACATCCAGCAAATTCATCTTCCAGGTTTCACCACAACACTGATTAAAAATTTACTTCCTAAATTATCCTTTTTCAGACAAAAATGAAGCATGTATTATTTTTTTATTATTTTTTTTATTAACAACAACGTAAGATTTTGCAGACTTCTAAAGAATGTTCGACCAGCTAATCCGTATTGCTTTCTACAAGGGGATCGGGATACAGTGTAACCAACCTTATAATATCTTTATTTTTTCGCAAACTTTTTATTTTTCATTTTTCATCAGATGTATTTCAGAATGAAGTAATATTTATACTGCAGTTTGTACATTTTATTTGCAAGAAATTCGGCTGGCGTTTTTTGTATGTGCAGCGTGAAAGATTATCACAGTTTTATTAGTAAGTTTATCATCTCTGTCAGTTCAGTAGAAATATTCACGTTTACCGCATGTAATATTTTAATCCATATTTTACATGATTACAGATTTTCAGTGTAAGTAAAAATGCACCAATGATTCGCCTATAGTAAAAATCTTAACGGAATTAATGTGAAAGTCTAATACGGTTTTTTAAATTTTTACTCTAGACAGTTAATATATGTTTACAAAATAATTATTAGTAAAATCACGCATCTGATATGTATTACATAAGAATGCATACTAACGACAAAAATCTTGTATCCGATACGATTTAATAATTTAAATGAGCAAAAAAAAAAAAAAAAATCAAAAGTAGAGACAACCAGGGAATAAATTAGTGAAAGCGTTTTCTTTCTTAGTGGTATTATAGGCTATTGAACCCTATTTTTTATGTCAAATATATCTATAGGATTATGAAACATCAATGTATATGTACACATTAAAAGAGGGTTTTTTCCCCGGGAACGAGCACGATTATATTGTATTTTGGGGCACCTTATAATCTTATTTTAAATATCTGTTTAATTTAATTACGATTATTAAAAAAAACTAATATTTCAAAAGAAAACTGATTTAATTTGCTAATATAAAGAAAATGAAAGACTTCAAAGACGCCGACATCGTTCGAGGTCCACACTGCCCCGTCCGTGTTTTGCGGGAAAAACTCCTGGCATGTACTGTACGTATGACCACAAACACAACCAGTTGATCTAATTTATAGCAAATAAAATATCGTCTCACACTCAGTCTAGTTGTTTTAAAGTTGTATTTTGCTTCGAGTAGTTTCCTTATTTTCACAGTTGAAGGCCCAGAGGCATATGCGTGATACTTGATAATGGTCTTTCGAATAGGCAGGCACAACCTCCGTCCTCCTTTCACAGGCGCCGTAGCGAGAAATAAAACAAAATGACTTATTTGGTCATTACATGATTCAAAAATCATTGGGGGCGTGGTTTGCATAATTAACCAAAGAACGGTACGGTTCGTTTCTTGCACGGAACGGTACGCTTTGTGGACGGTACGGTACGCTTTGCGAACGGAACGGTTCGCTATGAGAACGGTACGGTACGCTTTGTGCACGGAACGGTACGCTTTGTACACGGTACGGTACGCTTTCTGCACGGAACGGTTCGCTTTGTGCACGGAACGGTACGTTTTGTTCACGGTACGGTACGCTTTCTGCACGGAACGGTACGGTTCGTTTCTGAGGTGTAGTAGCACGGTTTAGGGTCTGTATTTCGTGTTCGCGTACAAGGAATTCCTCAAACCGATTTTTCAAAAGAAGCGTCCTTGTCGAGGTTTCTTTAGTGGTAAAATTAATATCAGTTTTCAATGTCGACGCAATGCGTATATGCGATTGGAATCTGTGAATATTTGGGGGTACGATGAATACATTGTCTAATTTTTCAGTTGGTGTAACCATTTTCATGAGCATACTGCAGTATCCATGATACCCCACAGTATTACATCTATTTCCTGCAAAGACTGCGATCGGATTGGAAGAACTTATCGTAGTTCCCGTCAAATCAGCATTATGTCCGATTTGAAACGTTTGATACCTGTTTAAAATGATATTAAACGTGTCCCCTCTCCCATATCTTCTTCCCTGAAGCAGTATTTTTGTGTCATGGTCAACTGCAAACGCTATGCTGACATGCGTATTGTCTTTCATTGAAGCAACAGTGAAATGACTTCCACTGCCTAAATAGCTATCGGACGGTGCCGCTGTTGATATGATATAGTTCGTAGAAAGCTTGTCCATGGGAAACACT